TACCTCCTGCCATGGTTCTTCCACCAGCCCAGGGTGCTCCAAGCCCCGTCCAACCTGGCCTTGGACACTTCCAGGGATCCAGGGGCAGCCACAGCTTCTCTGGGCAACCTGTGCCAGGGCCTCCCCACCCTCACAGGGAAGGGTTTCTTCCCAATTTCTCACCTAAATTTCCCTCTTTCAGTTTGAACCCATCACTCCTTGTCCTGTCACTGCAGTGCCTGATGAAGAGAACTTCCACCAGAACATCTCCCCAGCAAAGGGAAGGGAGGGGGAGTTTTATTATTCAGAGTAAAAAGGGTTCTTCCTCAAGCTATTACTGAAAATACCAGTTTTTTGTTGGGGTTTAATCCATTTGCCAGCCGTGGCAGCCAGAAACTGCTCGGGGACAGAAAAGTAGGACCTAAGACATCAACACAAGGTGAAAAAAGTGGGGTTTTTTTCAGCTATGCAATAGCTAAAACCCTTCACACAAGGAGTAAGGTCTTAGCAGGCTAACTCACACTTTCTAAGGCCAGTAGGAGCCACGGGTAAAATTCAAGCAGGGATATGAAAAAAGTCCTATTTATGAAGTGCAAATGTTAAGTAGAACTGTACAGCACAGGAACTTTTAAATGCCATAAAAATATTTTAATGGTACTCAATAATTGCAAAAAATGATATAAAAATGTATTTAATGCCTCGATTCACTCTTTTGTAAGTATTGTAAGTATTCTCTGTCCTTCATTATTTCACTTCATCCACTTTCTCTAGAAAAATACAGCAAAACATCCAGCAAACCAGGTATCACAGAAATCCAGTCACAAGGCTAAAGAAAAAAAATAAATTGAAGAAGTGGTCTGGTTGAGAGACCACCCTTCCACCAGCCCAGGTTGCTCCAAGCCCCATCCAACCTGGCCTTGGACACTTCCAGGGATCCAGGGGCAGCCACAGCTTCTCTGGGCAACCTGGGCCAGGGCCTGCCCACCCTCCCAGCCAGGAATTCCTTCCCAATATCCCACCTATCCCTGCCATCTGGCAGTGGGAAGCCATTCCCTGTGTCTTGTCCCCAGTCCCTCTCCAGCTCTCCTGGAGCCCCTTTAGGCCCTGCAAGGGGCTCTCAGGTCCTTCTGGAGCCTTCTCTTCTCCAGCTCTGTCTGCAGGGGAGGTCCACCCTCACAGAATGTTAATAAGAAGACAAGATCTGTATGTTCAGTCCAGAAATAAAAGCTGGACAGTGTGGACTCGTCTGCTACAAGGTGACAGTGGCTCTCCCTCCTTCACCTCCTCATGTACCCAGTCACTTGCTCCGTGTCTGACTCCGAGGAGTCGCTTTCCTCCTCGGAAGGAGAGTTCTGCCATTCCTGGAAGTCATCAGCACCCAGTGCTTTGTGCCCAGTGCCCGTGTCATCCTTTGCCTCCAAGGCAGGGTCACACTGCCAGAGCCCCTCGTGCCCCTGGGCAGGCAGAGCGGCGGCGGGGCCGTGCCCGCTCCCCTCCAGGGTGCCCAGCAGCACGCTCTGCAGGTTGATGGTGAAGCAGGCACTGCCACTCTGCCCGGCAGGGCACTGACAGCTGAGCTCAGGGAGAGGGCTCGGCCCCTCCCCGCCCGTGTCCTGCTCTCCCTCCAGGTCCGAGTGGTGCTCCTCAGAGCCCCGGGGCTCGGGGGCTGCGCTGGCAGTGCCCGGGGTGCCGCTGTCCTCAGGGGGCCTGTTCTCCGAGTACTGCACGGGGGGGGTGCCAGGGGCAGGGGGGGCTCTGCCCAGCACCCCCCTCCTCGTGTAGTCGTGGTCCCACAGGGCACTGCTGTCACTGTCCTCGCTGTCACTGTCACTGCCACTGCCACTGCCCCCACTGGCCTTGGGTTTAACCTCTCGGGGGATGACCTCCATGGAGTCTACTTCTTCTGCTGGAAATATCCAGGATGGGTAGACCCACCTCCTGATGGATTCCTAAAGGAGTGAAGGGAATTAAAAACATCAGCCAAACTTGCACACGTGCACAGGAAAACATGAGCAACACCACCCCCAACCATGAGGTTGTCCAACAAATGATCCCTCCTGTGCCATGTTTTCGGGTTTTTCCACAGAGTTCAGGGCATTTAGGATTGTTCCCTCTTCTCCATTCCTGAAAATCACAGAACCACTGAATGCTTTGGGTTGGGAGGGACCTCAAAGCCCATCCAGTGCCACCCCTGCCATGGGCAGG